AGGATTCCGATGAGTCAGAATCAAATGGACAGCAGCGAAGTATTCTGTGTGTGTTTTTTTGTTAGTTTTAACTTAAAATAAAAGCAAGTTGCATAGCAAACTAAGCTAAAAAAATATCCAATTTCCATCTCAATTGTTATCCTGGAGCATTTGTGTTGCAATTCTGAACCTCCTCACTGGAAGCAGCAGCCTCATCTTGCTTTTGTTACTGTTTACTATATTTAAACCCTTGAGTCCACCGATTTCTATACTGTTTTCATTGTTGTTGGTTGTCAGAGTCAGTTCCCATTCATTTGCGACCCTACTTACAACTGAAGAAAGTAGAACAGGACCCCATGCCCGGTACTGCACTTTCCTCACAGTTGTCCCTAAACTTAGCCCCCGGTGGCAGCCACTAGGCCAGTTCATCTCCCTAATGGTCTTCCTCTTTCTTGGCGACCCTCTTAATTTTCTAAACATGATGTCCTTCTCCAAGGACTGATCCCTCCTGATAACATGTCCAAAGGATGTGAGATGAAGTCTCACCAGCTTCGCTTCTAAGAACCATTCTGACTATGCCCTGCGTTATATTTGAGAAAGGGAATTATAATGACTCTTGTAATTCTTTCTTGGGAGCAGAAACTCTTTTATTTAACAGTGTCCCTAACATAGTAAGTATTCAACTATTATTTAGCTTTATAGGGGCACCAGTGGTTCATTAGTATTTCTCCTTCCATACAAGAGACCTGGCTCTATTTCACACTCAGTGCATGTACTAAGCAGTCACACCTGTTTGTCATTGGGAGTTTGTGTATTGCTATAAGGCTGAATGTGTTTCAGTGGAGCTTCTAGACTAAGAAGGACTAGTAAGAAGCTCTGGTGATCTGCTACTGAAAATCAGTCAATGAAAACCCCAGGGATCACAACTGTCTAATGGGGGTTGCATCAGACAAGGCAGTATTTTGTTCTAGTATGATGAGGTTATTAGGACTATTGAACTTCACCTCTACAAATGAGCTACACACTTTCCAACCTGTGAGACAATATAAGTAAACAAGGTTGCCTCTATACAGCAGTCAAACAAACGATACAGGCCAGAACTAGAAGGCAAGAACACTGGCTCAATCCGCACTCCCTCTCTTCCCCCCATTATCTCACTGAGGTTGAAGCAGCTTGTAATTGTAATGGTGCTTCTGAGAGTGGCAACTCCCTCTGCTGTTCCAGAAAAGCCATGACCTAAGTCAGAAAAGCGCTATACTCAGTAAAGACCTAACAAAGCGCAACTCTCCCTGCTTGCACAAATTGGAGAAACCCAGCATACAGAGAACAATTATTTCTAAGTCTCAACAATACTTCTCAATAAGCTAAGAGGTTGACCTAGCAGACTAGTGCCTAGCTCATGTTCTTCGAAGGCTTGCTTAATATAGATCAGTGTGAATCCCACATTGGGACAACCAGCTTCCAAAGGGCTATGGCATGTGCTAGAGGAGAACCTTGTCTTGTTTATGCCCAGTAAAAGTCAATGTGTTTGTTAAGATCTAGTGATTCCTCACGCTTGAAAATTTGTCCTCTGAAGCCTTCCCCAAGCTAGAACATGAAATTCTTTTTCTAAGCAAAGATAAACTAACCAACATTTCTGTATCACATTTACATCCAAATGTGACCTCATCAATGTCCTCTGCTCCTAAAATGAAAAAAGGAAAAAAAAACACCACGAGAATTTTTAATAAATCTGAGCTGTCATCAATGTCCTTTGTCAAACTTCTCCACTCTAATATGCATAAATGCATAGAAATAAATGTTATAGCTTGTGGGGAAGTAATGCAATTAAATAATATATATTGTACCTGAAGTTAGGATGGTAGTAATATGATTAGAATCTTCAGAAATTTTCTGTTCTGAATTTGGTGGTGTTAACACTCATAACACTAGTTGGTGCTAGATAAGCAGCATATAAATGCTGCGCAGTCCAGACGAGAAAAAAGGAAAAAAGCACAAACAAAGCAAGAGAGCACCAATTGATCAAACACATCTTCACACACACACACACACACACACACACACCTCTTTTCCTAGTGAAATCTCTCCTTCTTGGAAGCCAGAGGTACTGTACCACAAATCCCTAGAGCTCAGAGTTCCCAGCAATCCTGAATGAAACAATTAGAACACAGCCAGAAAGAAGAAAGCTTGTGCGGATAGCCTAGAGACTGCCCCGCAGACCTGTTTAAAACGAAGACGTGGTCTTTCCTCACAGTGCTGTTTAAAAAGACAGTTACACCCACCCACAATTTTTGTTTTCATTGTAAACTTCTGCTCTTTTCCTGGCCATCTCTGATGATATGGGTAATTTTTTAGACTTCTGTGTTTTTTACAGTACTTCCCCAAAGGCAAAATAAAGACCTCAACCACATTGTAAAGTGCTCAGTTGAGCTTTCCCATCTTAATATCATTTTGTCTTCATTCGTAAATGTACTTTATGCTCATCTTTACGTCTTCACTACATGAAACGCCTACCTGAGGAAGCAACACCCTCTCATTGTTCCTCCTGGTCCAGCCCCGAGAGAAAAGTACATGAAGGAAAACGGAGATCAACCATTGGACCATCATAAAATGTACAAATCTGAGTCAAAAGTGTACTTCAGTAGAAACCAAGGATGGGAAGGGTTAATAGGGTGGTGATAGCGGCTGATAAGTGAGAGTGGAGTGTGGTGCTTGATACTTCCTTTGAAACCCAGTAGAGAACACAGGAAAAGCCAGGAACACGGAGGATAGCAAAGATAAAAGTGGTGAAAGAGTGCATGTTGGAGATCACACGATACAAACCTAAATGAAAAGCTTTATTCGACAGGAACAGAAGGAACTCTATACACTGAATGGAGAAGAACTGCACTGCAATGCACACACCAGACAGAATCTGTTTCATTTTTGCTCCGGAAATCAGAACAGCAAGATAATCCCCAACCTTGGTTTACCTGGTTTATAAACTGGAGATGGTGGGGTGGGGGTGGTAGCAGTGTAAGAGCAAATGCTCACCCTATCCCGAGCGGAGTCCTTTCTTTTAATCTCTTCTTTCAATATTAATCCACTTACAGTCTTCAGTTTGATTATCTTTATTGATCTCCCCCCACCCGCCCCCCTTTCCTACCCAGTGTTTTTAATTTGGTGGTAGTAAGCTCTCGGCAGGGATCCTATCTCCTATTTGGCATCTTTGGGGACTTTTAACTTGTCCCTTTCCTGAACAATTATCTCACCCCTCCCACTACCTCCGCTCAGGCTCAGTCAGTTGTGTGTCCAATAACAGCAGGCGAATGCCACTGGGAGTCACACGGTTGATTCCAGAACTATTCATCAGGTTGCTCACATAAGCCTCCAATCACCCCCAGTCTACGCACCCCCAGTTGCTGCCCTGGGAACTCCTAAGTGTTTCACGAAATCTACAAATAGCTCTCACCCGATCCTCAGTGGAGCCTCCTTCGTAAAATGGACAAGATGAGCTAGCTCTGGAAGTGTGCGGAAGAAAATCAGGGCAGAACCTGGAGGACGGGAGGCATCTGGCTAGCAAGGAAGGATTTATGAGCGCGGCCACTTAGCCAGGGCAGCAGGAAAATTTACTCCGGAAGTAGCTATCGCTAATTCTCAATCCCTCACTAATCACTTACCTCCCCACCAGACCACACTCCCCTAGACTGTGTGCCCTCCACCCTCCACATCCAACCCCTCCCTGCTCCCAGGGCTTTCACAGCTCGAAGGGAATGCTGTTGGGAAACGCCTGAGAATCTGAGCATCATCAAGGGAGTTAGGGCTATCACTGCGACTCCTCCGCTCTCCAAATTTGGAAAGGGGGGGAAAAAGTGTAAATGAGATGAAGGGTCTCCGAATGGCCTCCAAATGCTGAATAAGCTTACCCCACATTGTCGGGAAATGTTAAGGTGCCCACCGTGAGGTAGTGACCTCCACAAGACCTAGCAAAAAAAGACCCAGAGAGGCGCTCAGCGTGACTACAGATTAGGTGTCTGGGGAGATACTGGGGAAGTGGGGTCCAGCTCTCCGCCGTTTTAGGCTTCCAGGGGCTCTGGTGCGGGGAGCCTCCTGGACCGCTCCAGAAAAGGGGAAGGAGGGGGAATGGCGAGCGGCAAGAAGGGAGCTGGCCAGTCGGTCCCAGGCTGCTTCTTCCACCCTCCCGCTCAGCTCGGCCGCAACCTCCCCAGCTGTCCCCAGAGCCACTTATTGGAAAGCTCAGGCACGAGAAATGACAATGTCAGAGTCATAAACTGGCCAGCTACCACGAAGAGTTTCGGATTTGGTTGGAATGACCAGCCCTTCTCCCCAGAGCCCTGGGGTAAGAGGTTGCTCTGTCGCAGCGGGGAGGTGGGCACCGAGAGGGTGCTGGTGCCGAGGCGGGCGCCCCGCAGGCCTGTCGCGAAGAGCGGGCGCGGGTCCGGGTGGGTGGGCGATCTCCTCAGTGACCCGAGCCACGGCCAGGGGGGCACAGGCGCTTGGGGGTCCTTGGTCTTATTGCCCACGTTGCCTTAGCTGTGTCCCCTTGGGCGCCGGCGTGCTCAGAGACGCACCGAAGACCCGTGGACCCTAGATGTGGCACAGCGCGGGGACCCTTTGCACACAGCGTGCATCGTGGTGCATCTGACATGCCACACAGCCACCCGCTCCGAGAGTCTCTCCAAACCTCCGAAAGGCCAAAATGCAACAACGTTCGGGTGCTGGGCAGAAAGTGCAAAAGACGCCCAACGGCGCCCACACGCCCAGCAACGGATACCTTTCCAGACCCCGCGCGTCCCTGGTCCATCCGTGCCCAGCTCGGAAGGCAGATTAAAAAAAAGAAAATCCTCCTCCTCCTCCTCCTCCCAAGCTTCTTGACTAGTTGGGAAAGTGGAATTGAAAGTGGTTTTCCAGTTGAGAGTGGCGCGGCGGACGGTGGAAGTCGGGAGAACCGGGGAGGAGGAGAGGAGGTAGGAGGGAAGGAAGGAGCGAAGGGAGGTGGCCGCGGCGGCCGGACCCCTTACCTGGAGCGGCCGAGCCGGTGCCGCTGGCGCTGAGCAGGGCCAGGGCAGGTAGCACGAGCGTCTGCAGCACGTATCCCAGTCCCAGTCCGCAGCGGGCCGCTGTTGCGCGCAGACCTGTCCTCATCGTCGGCCGAGGTGTGCCAGGGGGGCAGAGACGCCGAGACGCGCGAAAGGCGGCAAGCCCCACCGGGCGGCCGCCGGACCCGTGCAGCCCGAAGCGGTCGCAAGAAAGAAGGATGCCCAAGCGCCGCGCTCCACTTTCTCCCGGGGCTGGGGCCAAAGGAGGCGGAGAAAGGACGCGGCGGCGGAGTTGGAAGCGTCCCCTTTCCCGGAGCCTGCTGGGGGCTCCCGCGAGCGGCTGCTCCGCCCCCACGTGG